ATGACAGAAGATGAGCTGGTTGGATGGCATCACCAACTCAATGGGCATGGGTTTGGGTGGACTCTGGGAGTTGGTGATGGACAGGGAGGCCTGGCATGCTGTGGTTCATGGGGTCACAGAGTCGGACACGACAGAGTGACTGAACTGAACTGCACTGACCTCTCAACATTTCTGAACATTAAGAGCCAAAAGTACATAAGCCACAAGCCACCTTAAAGAGAGGGTCTCCTGCAATTATCGAGGGTTAGGTTGAAGTAGTTTTTACACACCACTGGAGTTAGGAGGTGTCTGATCACTGCCTAAAAATATTACTTACTGAAATACCAGCTCTGCTAGCAGGGCCCATAGTGCTGATTTTTGGAGGTGCTGATGAGTTTTGCTCTTCTTGAGTTTCCATTAGTACCAGGACACTTGCTGGGATTAACAGTAGCTTGTATTTAAGAAGGTAAGTTGTGGTTATGGGATAACATTAGAGATTTCCACTTAACTTTAGATGTAATAAAGTCAAAAACTCCTCAACACGACCCTTCAAATATAAAATATTCAACATCTATATGTGTCTACCAGGTGACAGCCATGATGGTGGTGGCTAGGAGGAATAAAAAGGAGTTGCAGGGGAAATAAGAATCAGGGCCAGTTTCTGCCTAGCTCCACCTACTCCCCACCTGTACTGAACAATGCCTGGTTTTGCTTTTGTTTGTGTTTTTGATTTCATACTCTTGTGTGTTTGCTCAGAGCCTTCTCTCTCTTCCAGGAAATCTCTTTATGGTTCCTGTGACTTCAGCTGCAGCCACGTGGGCTGCCTTGCTTCTTCATCTGTATTTATTCCATGGCTCTACTCTTGTTGGCACCTCGGCGGAGCTGTCCCTGAACTGTGTTTCTGTCAGCTGTCTGCCTCTCTCTGAGAAGCTTGAGCTCCTGAGGGCAGCAGTATCTAGATCAATTTTTATTTTTCTGCTTATAACCCTAGCTTCCAGCACAGCACCTATCCACACAGCAGACATCTGGTAACTGGACGTTGAATAAAGAAACAAATAATAGCATTTTCAAGAGGAAATCAAAGGGAAAAAATGGTTGAAAGAAAAAAAAAAACACCTCTTTTCACTAAAAAAGAAATTGCTGATGTCCTGGGAAATAGTGTATATCTGATTGACAATCAAGAAGCTTGAAAATAATTCCCTCTGAGAGAGATTGTTTTAAAGAGAAAATGCAAATCTTCAGAAGGCTTGTAGTACTGATGGCTCTAAAAGCAATTCTACTGGAAAACACAATGTGATCAGGTTAAAAATCCCAAAACAGAAATGGTGATGCTCAGAGAACATATGACTGGGATTTTTCCCCTCAATGCAGACAAGTTTGCAAGGAAATCTAAATTTTTCATCATACTTAGGTCTGGTCAGAGTCAGGCAATGATTTTTAATTAGTCAACAGAATTTTATCCAATGGATTTAAAGTCTGCGGAGAAAACATAAAGAGGGATCCAGTGAACTAAGATCATCTATAAGCTGTGATTATTATCATAATTAGAGTGATTTGTAAAATATATACTAGGATGTCTGAATGACCATTGTTCTTAATGGAGTGTCTTGAGAGACCATAATTTTTTTTTCCAGTGATGCTGCCACAGAGCAAAACACTTTAATGTCTTCTCTTCCAGAGTTATTTTCAGAGTCATTCATGGGCTACCCAAGATTTGGAAGAAGAAACTCACATGAGAACATATTTATTCTGCATTGTTCCAATGAGAAAGCAAAAATATATTTATGGTGATTTTTCAAGAGATCAGTTTCAACACAATAGAAAGACAGATGTAGTGATTTGAGACCTCCAACAATGGAATGAGTTTTGGGTAACGTACAGTTTGTACAGTTTTCACCGAAAGTACTCAAGCAAATACTAAATTACCACTTATAGAAGTTACAGAGGTTTGATGTCTTTCCAAGTCCCTTTGAAAGCTGAGAATCTGTGATTCCAAAAATATCTCAGTCATTATTTTATAGTCACATTAACTGTGTATTATAAGCTGTATCAACACCTTACTTCAGATCTGTGCTCAAAAGTCACCTTATTAAAACAGAGCTCTTCCCTACTTGAAATACTACCTGCACAATCTTCTTTCCTCCTTTTTACCCCACTTTATTTCTCTCCATTGAGCTTCTGTTCTTACTCACTTATTTACATATTGTCTGTTTCCCCCAGTGAGACTGTAAACTCCATGAAGGAAGGAATTTTTATTTTTGGTTTTCTTCAATGCTCTAATGCCAGCACTTAATTTAGAATCTGACAGGCAGTGTATGTTCAATAAGTTGTCAAATGAAAATAATATTAAAATGTCATAGAAAAACTACAAGCAAGAGAGAAAGAATAAAACACAATTTCATTTTTTTACAGTTATGCATCTCAAATTTATATAGTGGTCAGCATATCATATGTGCCTAATACATAAATGTTGAAGAAACAAAAGTATACTATCATTTTAATTCATTTTTCATCTTTTTTAAAAAAACAGAGGTTTTTATACAGTTGTAATCATAATTCATCTTTTAACCTAAAATTTATTATTCAGCTGAATAACTCATCTTATTCATCAGATTTGGGTATAATATTTGATGTAATTTCCAAAAGTCAAAACTATTTTCACATAAAAAATGTATTATCACTAAGGCTACAACAAAGGTATATGCTAAAGGCCATAAAAAAACAATGAACTCATCATTTCTAATATCATAATTATCCCAGTAGTATCACTGAAAAGAGTCATAGTTATTTTGGGAGACAGAATTTCATAATGAGTTAAGACCATAATACTTAGCCAAAACATTTTTGCAAAAGAAAAAAGTGAAGAACTTATAGTTCCTGGTTTAGTACATACTACAAAACTATAATAATTAAGATGAGGTGGTACTGTCTTAAGGAAATAGATTCACAGATCTATAGAACATAACCTACTGTCCAGAAATAAGCCCTTACATTTATGACCAATTAATTTTCCACAAAGGCACCAATGCAATTCAATAAAAAATCTTAAGACAATTGGACATCTGTATACAAAAAGATGAATTTAGACCACTACTCTACACAGACGCAAATATTAAATCAACATGTGTAATATACCTAACTGTGAAAACCCAAAACTATAAAACTCTTAGAAGAAAGCATAAAAGTAAGTCTCAGATCTTGTGTTAGGAAAAGATATCTTAGTTATAATACCAAAAGCTCAAGCAATAGAAGGAGAAATAAATAAACTGAACTTCATCAAAATTAAATATGTTTACTTTTCAAAAGACAATCCACAGAATGACAGAGAATATCTGCAAATCTCATAAAGTCCAGATTATAAAAAGAATTTTTATAACTTAGTAATAAGACAACCCGATTAAAAAATGAGCATAAGATTTAAATGAATATTTTACCAAAGTTGACATGATTGCCAGTAAACATATGATATGATGCTCAATATCACTAGTTATAGGCTTCCCTGGTGGATCAGATGGTAAAGAATCTGCCTGCAATGTGGGAGACCTGGGTTCAATCCCTGGGTTGGGAAGATTCCCTGGAGGAGGGCATGTAACCCACTCCAGTATTCTTGCCTGGAGAATCTCCATGGACAGAGGAGCCTGGCGGGCTACAGTCCATGGAGTTGCAAAGAGTTGGACACGAATGAGCAACTAAACACGGCACATATCATTAGTTATTAGAGGAATGAAATTTAAAACAATAATGAGATACCATTTCATAGGCACTGAAATAGCTATAACCCAACACTTCAGCAAAAACATGTTAAGATGTGGAGAAACTGAAATGCTCCTCATCACTGATGGGAAAGTAAATTGGTACAGCCATTTTGGAAAATAATTAGGCAGTTTCATGAAAAGTAAATTTACCGTATAACTCAGTAATTCCACTACTGCAAACTAGCTACCCAAGGGAAATAAAAACATGTGGCTACATAGGCTTGCAGTGAGTATTCAACATTGTTTATAACTCCCCAAACCTGGAAACAACCCAAACATTCACAACTACTGAATGCATAAACAAAATATAATGTATTTGTGTTGATACATGTATAGTTCTATGTATATACATTTTAACACATGTTCATATATCTGTATGCTAGGATGATATATTTATGAAACCCTGTAAACTGTGTGTGTTTTTCATCACATTCTTAAAGATGTGGGCAAGTATATAATTTCAAATTAGCATCTCTTCAATTTTCAGCCCAGACACAAATCCAGTTGTGGGATTAAGTGAGATAAATGTTTAAAATGCTTAGCACTAGACTGGCGTAGTGTCAGTTCATAATAAATCTTGTCCAATATTGTTATTTGTCTTTTGGGGAGTCTTGTTTGTGAATCAAGTTGTTTACTAATATTCCGGGGTGAGGAGAAGGAAGCCATTTTGTGCAGAGGAGAGAGTGCAAAGGCTTCCGCCCTTCTAGCTGTCTGACTTCACTTAATTTCTCAGAGCCTCACTTGCCAAAATCTGTAAAGGAAGACAATTAATGTAAATCATCTCTCAGGACTTATGATTAGGAAAATTACATACAAGCACTTTGTAAACTGCAAAATGCAATGACAATAGAAAATTGCTATATCATTATAACCTTCTGCTCTCATCAATGCAACCCACAATATGTTTTTTAGGAGAACTAGAATAACTACTCTAAAGGCATGTGTAGTCATTTCTCATCCTGGAAGATTATAAGAAGAGAGTCTTTTCATGACCATGGTGGTGGTAGTGAGCCATTTTAGAAATATATTTTTACCCTCTTGTTGTTTGAAAACAAAGTAAGAAGCCGGTTACTTCCTATCTGAAGCCCTGTCTGCCTGTCCTCATGAGCCACTAGGCTCGGCTAAATATGTCCCTGGCCAGTATGTGAATAATCCCCACTGGTTTCTGAGACCTCCATCCACCACTGATGTGACATTCTTTGTGTTCAAATGTCTAGCTGACGTCTGATGCTTAAAACAGCCTATGCCTTCACCCCTCTCTGCATTGTCACAGCCTGTATCACCACTCTTAAAAGGCTATCGCAGGCTCTCCCAGCACCAGTTGCTAACCAGCCTACCCACTCTCCTCCCTGCCTGCTGCTGGCTGCCTTGAATGCCTGGTTCCCCAAGCTCCTTGTGGGTCTGACAAAGCAGGGACCATGTCTACCTTTGGCTACAGGAGAGGACTTAGCAAATATGAATCCATCGATGAGGACGAACTGCTGGCTTCCCTGTCAGCCGAGGAGCTGAAGGAGCTAGAGAGGGAGCTGGACGACATTGAACCTGATCACAGCCTCCCGGTGGGGATGAGGCAAAAGAGTCTGACCGAGAAAACCCCCACAGGGACATTCAGCAGAGAGGCGCTGATGGCCTATTGGGAAAAGGAGTCCCAGAAACTCTTGGAGAAGGAGAGGCTGGGGGAGTGTGGAAAGGTAGGCTCTCGGATTTTTTTCCTTAGCTATTCCCAATCCCCCAACCCCGAACCCAGGAAGCTTTTTTATTTTTTTCTAATTTTTCATTCCTCATCACTTTTCTTATAACCCACTTTGCACCTGCTATTGAAAATTTTCTCAGGCTGAAATAGTCATCTAACTTTTATGACCACCTAATGGATTATATGAAAGATTCTTAGTTGGGGGGTCCTGTGATTGACAAAGATGGGATCTTCAAGAGGAAAATAATTCACAAGCAAATCATGGGTTTAGATATTTTGCCAAACAAAAGTCTAATTTGAGTTATAAGTTAAGGATGTGGTATACTTGTTTTATACATACATACATACACACACACACACACACACACACACACATATGGCAGTTAAGTAAATGTATATGGCAGCTAAGTAAATTTATTTTCTTCTATAAAGACAATAGTGGGTAATCTGTTGCTTGGACTGTGATGGTGGCTACAATAAAACTAATTCCTTTTTCCAACACCAAGAAACATGGGGTGGTGAGTAATATTTGGGGCTGAGAGTCAGGGCACCTTATTTCTAATCCCTGCTCTGCCCTGAAGTTGTAAGACCTTGAACAGAAAGTCAGTTCTGCAGAGTTCTCTTTCATATCAATGGAGGGTGTTCTTCAGACACCATTTTGAGATTTTAATGTTAAAGACTTTCCTAATAAAATGCATGTGTGCTTGTGCAAACATACAAAAATTTTGCATAGAATTTCAAAATGATGGCACACATCCTGAAACCCTCCTAAGGCTCCAGGTTAAGCATCCTTGCAAGGATGACCTCTAAGATTCCTTCCTATTTTATAATGGTGATTCTGAGACCAGAAAATGCGTTTCTATTAGAGGTCAGGTCTATAAAGTTCTTGTTCTCTGCCCAGTAAATAGTTAATTTGAATTTGTCAAATAAATCATTCACAGAAGGAAGTTCAAAAGACTAAGCTCCAAAAATATAGTTATGGCAATAAGAATATCAAAATAATATATTCCTGAATTTGTGGAAGAACACTGGTCAGGAGCAATAGTTTAAAACCTGTGTGCTCTACTAGAATCATCTAAGATCAAAATGGCCTGAAGCCAATGGCAAGACTTTCATAGTACTAATCCAGGAACTGTTAGATGATCTTGACGACAGAGTGTGTGGGCCACATTTGTAGCAAGATATGTGTGAGTTTTGTCCATGTCAATCATTGCAGAATGGGCCACCAGAATCAGGCCGGGGCTCGCCAAGGCCACAGTGGTGACCTGCCCTGAAGGTCTGAAGGTGGGTGGTGAGAAGGAAGGATACACAAAATGGGCCAGGATTTGGGTTGGTCAATTATTCCACAAACATAAGGTTTTTTGTTTTTTTTTTTTGATGTGGAAATGTGTGTCCGAAATCTGGTCAAATATAGGAAGTATCACATTTCCCTAACAGTTCTTAAAGATTTTCCCTAATAAAAAAAGATTAAAACTGCCTCATAATGTCCAGGACAGACAGCCATTGGAGTGATCACCCAACAAAGGCATTTTAATGTCATGACGTCTTGAGATGAGTGGAAAGCAAAGGACAAAGCCTGTTGTCAGCTGTTGATGAAACCCACCTGCTCCTGCCAAAGGTTTTGCTGATCCCTGAGCCCTGCCAATGACTTATCAGCTCAATTAGAGAGGCTGTGTGTTGATGAACTTTGATTCCTTTCTCAGCTAGTTAACTTTTCTCTCGCTCCTCTTTCCCTGCTGGCAAGGTGTCTCTAGAGTCACAAGGAGTGCTGAGCAGAAGTTTGCCAGTGGAGGGTGTCAATCCATTTCAACTCCAGGAAAAAGCTCAGAGCAGCTGACTGGTGGGTGGGGGTGGGTGGGGGGTGACGTTGTAAGTGAAGATCAGCCTGGTGTAGACCATGAGGAGGAGATGAGGGGTCACGCTTATCAGGCTACTGCTGGCTCTGTAAATATTTATGAAAATCATCTTCAACATCTATTGAATGACAGCTTCTGCCCACCTGGACTCCCACAAACTTATCCTGCATTAAACATCTCCAAGAGGCCTTGGAGACCCAAAGGTCCATCTCCCTGAGCTTGAGCATCTGCTGGGTGTCAGGCATAGGTGCTAATAAGTACATTCACATCACTTCACTAAACTCGCACCTTCTGGATGTGAGACGTGAGACCGGGACAGGTTAAGAAACTCATTTGAGATTAACAGCTTCTAGCTGAAATTCAAACCCAGTCCTGTTGGCACAAAGACTGCAATTCTCAGAATGTGGGTACATCAGCATCACCTGGGACCTTCCAACTCATTCTAGGACTCCCCCAGACCAGCCGAATGAAGAACGCTGGGGGTGGGGCCCAGCACTGTGTGGCTTCACCAGCCCTCCTGGTGCTTTTGACAAACCCTGGGGTTGGAGAACCGCCCAGCCCTACTGCAGTTTCCTTGAGCCCTTCTGTGCCAGAGGTTTAGTGATTTGCCTAAGATCAAGCAGCTCTTTTTGAGCCTTCCCTGGTGGTTCAGTCGTAAGGAATCTGCCTGCCAATGCAGAAGACGCGGATTCGATCCCTGAGTGGGGAAGATCCTCTGGAGAAGGAAATGNCCCCTGACTTAGAGGCTGTTACACTGTCCTGTACTTAGTCACTCAGTTGTGTCCGACTCTTCGTGACCTCATGGACTGTAGCCCCCGAGGCTTCTCTGTCCATGGAATTCTCCAGGCAAGGATCCTGGAGTGGGTTGCCATGCCCTCCACCAAGGGGATCTTCCCAATCCAGGGATCGAACCCAGGGCTCCTGAATTGCAGATGGATTCTTTACCAAGCCTGAGGCTGTTAACCAATGTCAATTTAGAGCCATTCAGTTAACAAATTTTACCGAGTCCCTACTACCTGCTGAGCACTGTGTGAGGTGAGAACAGACATGATCCTTTTTGTCACCCTGCAGACAGTCTTTAGGGAGAAAAAGACAAATAATTAAAGAGGTACTTTATCGGAGGAGTTACAGCATCATGGGATCACATCACGAAGATAATTTGAGGAGGTGTCAAAGAAGGCTTTCTGCAGGAAATGTCATTGAGATGTCACAGGACAACTCATTGCTGGATAAGAGTTTTGGATATGATCTCTGCAAATATATTTAAGGGAAAAAACACCTCTTGCCAGATAAAGCCTAAAGGTCTTTGAAAAACTAGAGGAGTACCATTTAACAGTGGTGTGACAGGGGGTACACCTTGAATTTTGAGACAGGCCTCTTTCCTCCAAATACTGAAACATCTACACACACACACACACACACACACACACACACACACAGTGTCACTCTCCTTCCTGCTCCTGAACAAGTGAGTAAATTAAGACTGGACAAGCCATCCCAGGAGTGGCTGACCCCTTCCCCAGGCCATCACTTGGTGCCTGCCACTCCAAACAAGCGGATAACTGGAGGCTATTTCATGACACCAACTGGGCAAACAAACTTGGAGACCAGCGCAGTGTTTTCCAAAGCTCATTCCACGTGCCTCGGGCAGCAGGAGGCTGGGGTCAAAAACATTCCCATGTAGAAGGAAGAATTCTGGCTTTGGGGACAGGAAAGGGTCTCCAGGCTTTAGAGAAACTAAAGGGCTAAAAAGATAGCATTATGGAAAATCAGACTCTGTCAGCAATTGTCAGATTTTTATTTTATCAGAAAAGGTAGTGAGGAAAAGAAAAAAGGAGGGGGGGAATCAGCTGAACTTCTCAGTACAAAGTCTTGTAAACAGGAAAGACCAAGATGAGGTGAAATTGTGTTTGCCTGAAAGTCTTTCATAATTGATACCTAGTAAATAATTTAAGACCATCAGGCTGAGGCAGTGGCTTGCTTCAAGATTTTTCTACTGTTCTCTGCTGTTCTACATGATGGTTGAAATGTAGTTAGTGCCAAAGGCAATTATCTCTCCCACCTCGTGTCTTCTGAAGTCCCGTCTCATTTAATCCTGTGATAACATGAGATTTCAAGCTGATTTGCTGCAAAGGGTGAGTTTCTGCATAGAGATGGGTTTTGACCTGCTCCCTTGGTTTCTTTCCCCAGAAAAAGACAGAGACAGCCTCAGCTTCCATGTGGTGTGGTCTCTGAGACCCCGTGCCAAGTTCTACTTAGAGGGAGGTGCCCAGCCTCTGTATGCATGGACATAGGACATGGCAGAGGGCTCTGGGCTCCTGTCACAGAGACTGTAGGCGGCAGACAGGGGGAAGAATTTCTGAACATTAAGAAAGGGAACCCAAGGATATCCCTGATGGTTCAGCGGTTAAGATTTCGCCTTTCAATACAGAAGGTGTGACTTTGATCCCTGGTCAGGAAGCTAATATCCCGCATGACTCAGGGCCAAAAAGCCAAAACACAAAGCAGAAGAAAGAACAAAACAAAATTCGATATGAAGACTTTAAAAATGATCCCCTCAAAAAAAATTCTTAAAGAAAAGAAAGGGAACTCATAAACGTGTTATGTATTTTTGTTGTCATTTGTATGTTTGGGATGGAGAAATAAGGAAGGACAGAAGGGTGATTCCCCAAGGGATGACTGAATCTGCTAAACGGTAAGTGGACTAGAAGTCAGGTCATTCAGGAGAGGGAGTTAAGAGAATAAAAATGCTATCAAGGGTTTTCCAGAGCAGGAGCTCCCACTTATTTGTTAAAAACTGGCAAAATGATGGCAAACTCTTATTCCATAAACAGAATTCTGGATATTTATTTTGCAGAATACAAAAAAATTCTGCAGAATACAGAAAAAGCTGGTGAAAGTTATGCAAGGAAATGTTATCCCTGGTCACCTGAACTAGGAAGATTAGTAGCTGGAGACGAACTTTTTATTCTTAGAAAGTTTTGTCTTACTTGCTTGTGTGTTACTTTTTAAAGAATTTATTCAGATATAACTGGCATATCACATTGTGTGAGTTTTAGAGCAACCACGTGATGATCTGATACATGCATATATTGCAAAACCGTGTGTTATTTTTGTAAAATTTAATAACGTGCTTACAATGGCAAACTTCATGAGGATACTCTGCTCTTTAGGTTGCAGAAGAGGACAAAGAGGAGAGTGAGGAAGAGCTTGTCTTTACAGAATGTAACAGTGAGGTTTCTGAGGATGTGTACACGGAAGAGGAGGACGAGGACGAGGACGAGGAGGAGGAGGACAGCGAAGGAGAGGAAAGAACAGGTGCGAAGGAGGGAGGGATGAACGGATCTGTGCATTCCGATAGTGTCCATTCTGACAACGCGAGGCCAAAGACATTTACAAGTCAAATCGAAAACATCCATCTGACTAACGGCCACAGCGGAAGGAACACGGAGTCTCCCCCGGCTGCCATTCACCCCTGCGGGAACCCCACAGTGATCGAGGATGCTCTGGAAAAGATTAAAAACAACGACCCCGACACCACGGAAGTCAATCTGAACAACATCGAGAACATCACTTCGCAGACCCTCGCCCGCTTCGCCGAGGCCCTCAAGGCCAACACGGTGGTGAAGGCCTTCAGCCTGGCCAACACGCGCGCCGACGACAGCGCGGCCACGGCCATCGCGGACATGCTCCGGGTCAACCGGCACATCACCAGCGTCAACATCGAATCCAACTTCATCACGGGCAAGGGCATCCTGGCCATCATGAGGGCGCTGCAGCACAACAGCGTGCTCACCGAGCTGCGCTTCCACAACCAGAGGCACATCATGGGCAGCCAGGTGGAGATGGAGATCGTCAAGCTGCTGAGGGAGAACACCACGCTTCTGAGGCTGGGCTACCATTTCGAGCTGCCAGGACCAAGAATGAGCATGACCAGCCTCTTGACCAGAAACATGGATAAGCAGCGGCAGAAGCGGATGCAGGAGCAGAAACAGCAGGAGGGATACGACGGAGGAGCCAACCTTAGGACCAAAGTCTGGCGGAGGGGCACGCCAGGCTCTTCACCGTACGCATCNTCAGGGTATATCTCTCCAAAACAGATTCATCACTTAACAAAAATTTTACCACCGAGTTGCAAGTGATTGAACTTCCCTGGTGGCTCAGAGTGTTAAAGCGTCTGCCTGCGATGCAGGAGACACGGGTTCGATCCCTGGGTCCAGGAGATCCTCTGGAGAAGGAAATGCCAACCCACTCCAGTATTCTTGCCTGGAGAATCCCTCTGGATGGAGGAGCCTGGTAGGCTACAGTCCACGGGGTCACAAAGAGGCAGACACGACTGAGAGACTTCACTTTCTTGTCTTTCTTTCTGGCGAGTGATTTAACACCTAATTTATAATAAAAAAGTTTGAACATCACCCAGCAATAATCTGGGTTTCCCAGGTGGCACTTGTGATAAAGAACACACCTGCCAATGTAAGAGAGGTAAGAGACCTCTTGGGTTCAATCCCTGGGGAAGATCCCCTGGAGAAGGGCATGGCAACCCACTCCAGGATTTTTGCCTGGAGAATCCCATGGCCAGAGGAGCCTGGCAGACCAACAGGACATAGAGTCGCAAAGAGGTGGACACAACTGAAGCAACTTTGCACACGTGCACTCACAGCAACCTGAGTTCTTTCTAGAAAATACTGCTAAAGTCATACTGTACAGAATTTTTTTTTCACTTTATCATTTTCATTGTTTTTATTGAAAGAGAATCCCCTATTTTTGTAGGTGGAAGTTCCAGAAGCTCTGCGATAAAAGCCTGATTTTTAGAAGAGGATGCAGAATTATTCAGTTGGTATTAGATAAAATGTTTTGTGAGATGTTTCTAAAATACCTTCTTCAATTTGAGATGTTCTCTGACTTTAAAAATAGCCTCACCCATTAATTCCAAAGAGAATGTTAAGAAACTACCAGCATGTTTCTTCTGTAAATATTAAAATAAACTTCTTTTTTATGTCATGAGATTTGTATTGACAAGAAGCAGTTTATTTAAACATGCTCTGGATGTGTTGGTAACTCTGAGCTATAATGAGTTCATGAAATGTGCTGTTATTTTTGTAATCCTAATAAATTTGGATTGAAGTTTTTTGGGTTTTTTTAAGCAAACTAATATTTTTTTGTAAGTGGATAATCACGTCTGTCAGGTGTGTATGTAACTTTGCTAAATCTTAAAAATATTACATTCTCACCCATAAAAAGGTTTGGGTACTTAGCATTTGCCTATGTTTTCTCATGTCTAAGAAAATCTAATCAGAGCTCTCTCTAAAGATCTGAAATCAAGGACCTTCTTAAAGGTCTTTTTGGTAGTGAGATACTAATAAAAGCTTGGGAAAAGACCCAACTTGACCATTGTCATCCTAGAGGCATGAATATTGGACCCATTATGTCAACTGACACTCCCCCATTCCCAACAACACCCAGAAGTCGTTCGATCATTTATAATTAAAGTTAACTATTTCTGGAAATAAATGGCAAATTAGAAAGTTTCTTGGTAGAGATGAAACAAGTGCTGAGGGAACACCTGGAAGATAGGCCCCCCGCATTCAGAGCTGTCTTGAGGGTAATGCTAAAGAGTCACCACTCAAGTCTCCTTTGAGCTCTGGCTGTGATAAGCTTTAGTTTAGGGCAGCGGTCCCCAACCTTCCTGGCACCAGGGACTGATTTCATGTAAGACAGTTTTTCCATGGAAGGGGGTGGGGGAGGGGAAGATGGTTTCCATATGATTCCAGAACATTACATGTATTATGTACTTTATTTCTATTATTATTATATCAGCTCCACCTCAGATCATCAGGCATTAGATCCTGGAGGCTGGGGACGCTGAGTTTAGTGCATCTCTGTGTTCTGCCTACATAGTGGTGATGTCAGCGTCCACTACATACATCCACGGACAAGGGCACATGCATTTGAAATCATCCTACCCCATCTCTCTTTCATTCAAGAAAGATCTGGCTTTTCAGATAAGAGAAAGATCTGTCAGAGATTACCTTCATTCCACCTGGTGCTGGGCTCCAGCTTATGAAAGCCACAGATCTCCTCTGAAGTCCTTCGCATTATCTTTGATTAGCAATGCTTCCTTTGTGTCCTACAGAGTATGACAGAGGTCCTGGTCAGCTCTTGGGGCACCCATTTAATAATTATTTCCTGACTTTGTGTGGGGAGTGACTGACATTTTTCTGAACTAAGTTGTGTACTTTTCACAACAACTTTAAAAGGTTCTCTTCCTATTTAATCCACGAGGAAACCCAGGTTCAGAGAGGCTGGGGATGCATGGGAGACTGTTTCAGAAGCCCATGCATGCTCCTTCTGCATCACTGCATGTCTCTGCTTCCTTCTGAACTCAGAGTCCTAAGGCTCCCTGTGCTTAGGAGGACAGTGGGAATGTCAGTTTCCTTTAGCAGTGACTTCAGTATTTTACCCCTTTTCATGAGTGTTCACAATCGTGCTTGTTGCTGTTGTGCAAAAAAGGCGCTAAAATATAGATTTTTAAAAGGCAAGCATGGGTGTGTGTGGGGGGGGGCGGCGGGGTGTGAATTAGCACAGAAAGCCGAGACTGACCTTCCTTTCCCCTGACCTGTGTGTGCATGAGAACAGGGCTCTTCTGAATGTGAAGAGCTTTCAGCTCCACCATGATGAACAAAGGAGTAAATGGTTGCTGATAAATAGATCCTTTGATAAAACCATGTATAAATCCCAGAAAAAAGGGGGTGTGCAGAGCTAAGAGGAAGAGGTTACTTCCTGGGCTGCCAGGAGATGCTAGGCTGTGGGGACTGGCTAGGCCTTTTCACCAGACAAGAGTGTTTGGGAGACAAATATCTCCTCCTTCAGATTTTTGCCTTGCTGGAAACTTTTGGGCTTCGGGAGAGAGGAGCATGCACTGATAAGGCACTTAACAATATGGATCCCCATACTCAACCTACAAAACACTGTAAAGCCCCTAATAAGGCAAGTATGATAAAGTCAGACACTAAGTTGGCATATTTTTCATTCACGGAAAGCACTTTTAGAATGTGATTTCAGAAGACAGCACTGGAACCAGGCAAGGTATCACGACTCTTCAGCACAGAACAGGAATCCCAAGTTCATGGTTCCTGCAAACTCACAGAGCTGGTATGAAAGCTAGCTAGTTCATCCCCTATAAAGAGCATTCAGCTCACTGGGAGAGGGGCTGTCCAAGACCAGATGAAGTGTTTAGACCATGATTTATATCTGCACATTAATCTCTTAAAGTACACCTCATCCTGGTTGAAGCAGGGACAAAATGCTGAGTCTCACTCTGCGTCTGGAGCCCTGCTGCCACAGGTATTCAATAACTCAGTGTCAGCAGGATCATGATTTAATACCTGCCCTGATGTAGTTGCTCCAAGTGAGGGAGAGGAAGAGGTAAAAACAGACTGCAGTGCGTGTGTTGAGAGGCACCGCAGACAGGGGTAAATCGATACGTTCTTGAAAAGACCTCAACTCCTTCCTTTCGTGAGAAGTTCACCCTGTCTTTCTTTGTTTCTCTGAGGTTTGGAAGGTGGGGTTTTGTTTTCATCAGTCGTCAAATAGTAGATGTAAAAGTCAAAGATCTGACCTAAGAATTACAAAACTCAGAAATATGGTACTGGTACGGAGGCACTGCTGCTGCTGCTGCTAAGTCGCTTCAGTCGTGTCCGACTCTGTGCGACCCCATAGACGGCAGCCCACCAGGCTCCCCCGTCCCTGGGATTCTCCAGGCAAGAACACTGGAGTGGGTTGCCATTTCCTTCTCCAATGCATGAAAGTGAAAAGGGAAAGTGAAGTTGCTCTGTTGTGTCCCACTCTTAGTGACCCATGGACTGAACTTTCACAATTGTTCTCTGAGTGCCTGCCATGTTCCAAATACTTTTGGACACCGAGGATGTGCAGTGAACAAAGGAGATAAAACTGCCTGTCTTCATGTCACTTACAAGTTTAGGGGAGGGAGCTGACACCATTCCTTCAGGCATCATGTGTCTATCAGGTGCCTCCTGTGGATGAGGCTCTCTGCTTGATGCTGGGGAGACCAATTGAATTAGAAAGTGTCTTTCACTTCCAAAGCGTGAGGCTCCTCCTTCCTTCCAGAATTTGCAGTAGGTATAGAGTCTTTTGTGAGCACTGAGGAAGCCTAATGTTCTAAAACTGGTGTTAGCAAATTTCTATAAAGGGCCAGAGATATGTAAGATACTGTATAACATATTTAAACATTTTAGACTCTGTGGGCCGCTTGTTCTCTGTCACAACTACTCAACCCTGCCATCGTAGGGTGAAAACAGCTACAGATAATATGCAAATGAATGAGCATGTCTGTGTTCTAATGCAACTTATTTGTAGACACTAGAATTCAAATTTCATGTAATTTTCATGTGTTGCTCATATTCTTCTTCTGATCATTTTTTCAACCATTAAAAAATGTTAAAACTCTCTTTAGTCTGCAGACTGGACAGGAGAAGTGTTGAATGGGTTTGACTTGTGAGCCAGCCACTGTTTACCATAGACCCTTGATCATAAGCAGATAAGGGGTCAAGAAAAGCTTCTCAAGGAAGGTGACATTTGTTTTAGAATTTTAATGAATGGAGAAGACGCCAGGCTGAAAAAGGAATCAAATGGTAGGGATGATGAATGAGGAGAGATATTTAAGCTTGAGAGAACAGGGTATTACAGAAAATAGAATATCATAGGGTTAATGTCATTCTATAAAAAGCAAGAATTTGGTGAAGAGTTAATATTTCAGTCTTTCTGCTAGTATTGATAGGTTTTGCGGATTAAGAATAGTATTAGTATTTAGTTTCCATATGGTCTTTAGCAAAAGTAGTATGTGATCATTAAGACAAATTAGAATATACAGATAAGGCAATAAACATAAAAATCTCCACAATCTCACCAATGCAGAATTACTGACAACCCTTTAGTGTACATCCTTTTAGACCCTTCTTAATGCATATTTGCTGCTGCTGCTATTTAAACACACATATAACTTACATACCATCACATAACCTACTGTATTTTATTTAAGCAGTTTTAATAAGTTGGATATTTAGGTTATTTTGATTAGACTGCTGATTTGGAATTTGGTTTGTTCCAACTTATCTTTTTGAGT